TTCAGAAATATAAATAAATATGTGTAGGTCCTAATTTGGCACACTAAAGCAATCATCAGCAGAATTACTTCAACAGGGTTAAATGATTAAGAAATGCTAATTTATGGAGCTTTCTTTTAAACGTTTTTAATAGAAACTCACATGGCGAAACAAATCTAAATATTGTGTTCACATCTCACGCTTAAACTGACTGTTATCCTCAACCCAAAAACAGCACCAAATGTTCTCTATGCCACTGAGCATTTTGAGAAAAATGTAGCCATTGGCAAAATAAAACCATTGATTTGAGAGCAGAGCCTGCAATATTTAAACGTGTAAAAGACATTCAGTAAAAGGTGCTTTTATGTAAAAACAACATCAAGGAAAATAAATGCCTGAAGCTCTTCATTGTAAGTGGTTTATAAGCCTTTATTCTATCGGCTTGTTTAAAGACAAATGTATGACGCTCCACCATGTTTCTGCACAAAGCTCCTAACACTTCAATGGTAGAACATTGCATTCTCTGTGTGAACCACTACAATTGGAATTTCAACCTTTTCTTTTATTGTCAGCTTCAAATGCCTACTTATCTCCTTTCTTTCATTTGAACTGTCACATTTGAGAGCTTCTGTATCTGGATTATAGATAAACTGGACCTTTACCTCTCTTTGCTGGGAAAAGCATGGTGGTAGTGACTGAGAAAGTGGATGGGCCATGAAGCCATTCAATATCTCCTCTTAAATCTGTCTGCATGTCTGAGACTCTCGAACAGCAGCTTGTGTTACACCTCTGTTTTCATCATCCCTGCAGGCCACCTCGATGGGGCTGCGACAATGTGACAAAACTGATCCTGAGTGTGTTTTAGTTTGTGTGTGTGAGTGCAAATTTGCTATGGGGCTAGTGTGCAGATGTAACAGGAGTCCATCAACAGAGACGACAGCTTCAAACCATCCAGCCAACCTCTGAGGTCCCTTAACACCATGTCACACACACTGACTGACACACAACAATCTAAAACTGATGGAAACTGAACAACCTGTTACTGAGTTCATATTAGAAACAACACACACAGACAGGTCATGGATTTTAACTTGGAAATTTGACTCAACAAATGAACAGCATTAATCCTAAAACCCTTAATTTTGATTACAAATGTTCTCAATGGTAAAGTAAATGTCACTGGCCCATGCCGCTGCCAGAGTAAAAAGATGTACCAAAGCAACCTCAACTGCTGATGGCTATGTCCAAAAACCTTGAAGCAAAATGTTTGTGAAAACAAGTGAGGAGATTTCAGTCTTAAATAGGCAACAAATGGTAGTCTACCAGCCGCAAGTCAATAAATGACACTTCATACTTCCTTTGTTGCTTTGGCCAAATGATTAGGATCATTGTTGAGCTGTATTGTCTTAAAACTAAGTATACTTGTCCTACATTGTTGACCCAGTATGATTGATAAGAAAACACCAAGGATATACTGTACGTCATCTCTTATGGTGATGGTTTTCTTTGAAATTCTATGGGCTGATAAGGTCTTATACTTGTGACCTGCACTTTCATCTTGCACACAAAGCTTTGTTCTGCATCTCAGAAGTACAGTGCACTTTAACACTAGCCACTTACATTAGAGTGTATTGAAAAAATTCACAGAAGAATCTCTGAATATAGCCATTTGTAAACACTCAAATTCAAGCATGAGCCCTTTGAGGTGCCTCGTCTTGTTCATAAGAGATTCCGGAAAAGATATTACATTTAGAAAAAGATCCATACAGAGATAAATAGAAAGAAAAGCACTATGATAAAAGATAATAAAAAAACAATAACAGTCAGGTCTCCCCTTTTTAGCAGAAAATTTAGCACATCCCTGACAGTCTTCATTAATTCTGGTGTTTTTACTGGCTCCAATGGGTTAGGCAGTGTGGATGAAAACATTCATCATAACAACATAAATAAAACCCCCGGGCTTATTGTGAGAGTTTGAGTGGTATAGGCCTCTAATATATGACAAACACCCTCTCCATCGCTCTTCAGTGTAATTTCTTTCAGTTTGTCCATGCTTCTCTATTAAAAGCTAAAATTGCTTTTGGCCAAAGAAAACATATATCCAGTGCGCCTGGTAGAAATAAATGATACCAGCTCTCATATGAAGTGCAGATTGTGAGTCACAGTCTTGCATTGAGGAACTGCACTGGGTCATAATTTCAACAACCTTTTTATGACCTTGTTCTGTTTCCCTTCAGACTGAGCGCATGTTTATGTTTGGAATAACTTGCTGTGTGGCCTTTTCTGCAGGACTGAGCTCCACTAATTCCCCTGAGCACAGACACTATTGTCACAAAGAGAAAACACATTTCTAACACATCCTCCATCATTTCTTGTTTTTTTTTAGCTTTGTTCTATTTCATAATTCCTTCTTTAATAGAGCTGTGTTAACTTGGACAACCTTGCTTTCCTAAAACTTGAATTGATAATCAAAGGTTTTTCACAAGAACGGAAAAACATTGGCCCCGCCACAGAGGTCGTTGTTCATCAATGAGTGATGGAAAATTAGATATGAAAGGGTCTCTGAAGAACAAGCCAGCCAAAAAATAAGCAGATTAGAGAGGGAAAAAAACAACACTAATTGAAAGACGGGAACAAAATAAGATGTACCTTCACCACGAGCATATGGACTAAAATGCCGATTTGATTAGTTGGGAAATTTTGTTGCAAACCATTTATTCATAAGCCAATTCAGCAATACTCTTGATTAAAAAATAATTAAAATGTAAAGATAAAACACGCTTGAATATTAGATATGCTGGTGGGTATTTGTCTTTTTTGTAAATATGAACTTTGTTCAGCACACACAATATTTTGTGTAAAAAGTAAGTATTATAAAAGGTTGTGCTCCAATTATATGCTCACACCATTACATAGTAAATCCATATTTAACACACCTGCATTTAAGTAATAGTTCAACATTTTGAGTAATACGTTCATTCCCTTTTTGGCCAGACGTTTGATGTGAATATTGATTACACTTTCCCGGCTGTCCATTAAATATGAAACGACATCCAGCAGCCAGTTAGTTTAGCTTAGCATAAAGAAGGAAAGCATTTTGAAACAATTGGTCTGGTTCTGTCGAAATATGAAAGAACAATATGCATACCAGCACTTTAAAAATTGGCCGGATGCAATGACTTCTGCTGGTCGCCTGTCGCGATTCATTTAAACACGTCACTTTTTTGTGGATTAAACAAAAAGATGCTGGTAGCTGGATTTGCTATGACATTTGGATAGAAACAGGCTAACTTTTTTCCTGTCCAGTTTTTATGCTAAGCTAAGCTAACCTGCTGCTGGCTGTATTTCCATATTTATTGTTAAACTTGAGTGGTATCGACTGTCTCATTTTTCCCACTGCAAGAGAAAGAATAAGAGTGTTTCATAAAATGTCCAACTATGCTTTATGGACTAAATAACATGAATTAAAACCACACACATGACAAACATCTTATTATGTATAAGCCTTTGTCTGACATAAAAAGCCCCAGAGTGCAGCCTCTCCCCGTGCTATTTAATTAAAAAAGATAAAGCCCTTCTTTGATCTCTGCTCCTTCATACTCAGTAAAGATATTTCACGGCTGAGTGTGGAATTTCATGCGACAGATGTATAAGTGGGGATGATGCAGTACATATGTTCATAGGGAAAACAAATGCACATGATATCTCATTCCCTGGGGCTTTCTTCAACTCTGAAAGGCACCTTTACATCGGTCTCACAAAATGAATTTTGAGCAATACACACCTCTGCTCAGTGACAGCTGTGATAAAGATAAATATTTAATGTTTTTCTAGAAGTCTGCGGTGAGCATGCCTTTTTCTGGCAAGCATAATATGTGAGGGAAAAGGAGTCAAATCTAAATCAGGAGGATGAGAATCAAAGGTTAAGGCATGAAGAGTGAAATGAGATAAACAAGTGAGAGTGAATGACAAAAAAGAATGAAATTTGAATAAATCACATTTCCTTAAACAAAAAATGGGACTTTTTACCGCAGTTTAACATTTCAGTCATGAACCACAGTGGAGAAGGAGCAGTGCCTGTAATCTGTTACCCACTGAGCCCTATTTTCAGCTTGTATATGACATGAGGAATGTTGGACACCAGAAACTCTCAACATACCCCTGGCTATTGACTGACTTCATGTAAAATAAGAACATGTTACAATAATAATACATAATTGATAAGTATCTCTCATTCTCTCTGGGGGAAAAGCACTTGTAGTGGATAATTGGTGCGATAAATATTCTACTTGTTTGATGATTAACTCCCTTTGGGACTGTGAAAAGGCTAGTAGTGGAAAATAAGTCCTCAAGTGTGTCTATTTCTGGTCAGTCTGACATCTTGCATACAATTAAAAAAAGATTTAGCAGAGAATTGGACAATGAAATCATTTAAACATGATTAGGCATGATGAAAGGTAACAGAAAATCCATTTGCTATACATTGTGTCTAGTTTGTTCTGAAATCAGATTTTCTTCTGAAGTCAGTTTTCACTCAATTTAGTGATACAACAAATCATTCACATACTTTAAATATCATCCACCCACAACATAGAGAAATTGCCATTACATTTAGCTGAATCTTATGATTTGTTCATGACATTTCCCCAACTTTAAAAACAAGACCCAACTGTCCTTTTTCACCACAGGAATTAATAACCTGTAACGTATGGATTCCTATAATCTGAAATGAGACTCATGTGGCTTTGATACAAGGTTCTTCCAATAAATGTAGGTTTTGAAGGTTAAAACAAGAAGTTAAAAGATGCTTGAAGAAACAGTTAACCATACGTCTCACAATGACTACCTGTTACATTTCATTAAATTCCTCGAGTCAAAAGTATTCCCTCTTGATGGAATAAAAAATGTCAGTTTAAAATGCTCATACACACTTTCACATAATTCTGTGACTGCTGTTGGAGAGACAGATAATCTACAAGGTGATGACAGGATAAAATGGAGGAATAAAATGTAACACTAACCTCTGGCATCAAAGAACTCCTCATCGGAGCTGTCAACTGATTCCTGTGCGATATTCTGCAGACACCAATGAGTGGCGCTGTGCTTTCGTGCTGATCCTGTGGGTCAGAAGAAGCAAATAAGATAGAAAATTCTTTTTTCGAAAAGATGACACACAGGGTCGTGTCATTAATCATAGAAATCAAGGACAGATCAATCACGCATATCATATTATTTTCCATTCCTTTTATTTTTTAGTTGAAAGCTCTCACAATTCAGAATGAAAAGCAAAGCGTGAACGCCCCAGGGTGGGAACGATGGCCTTTCAAGTGTCACAGCAGTTGAAAGACCCAAACAGACTTTCTTTGAGCAGTGTCATAGCACACAAGTGTGTCAGCAAGGAAGCATAGCAGTATTTGTATTAGCTCCTCATACAAGAGCAGGGATGAGAAGGGATTTAGAGCACTGTCCATTTGTAGAGAATATTCTCTATTACTCTCAAGTGAAAAACGATTGCAAACTACAGAGGAAAATAAAATCGTTAAAAATCTTTGAAGCAAAAAGGGCTATTACATGACTGTTATTTTGTATATATTGATTGTTGTGCTTTTATTTAGGTCTTAATGTGTGCATATGTATAAATGTGTCTTTTGATTGTGTGTATATAGGTATATACATATTTTTATATATTTGTTTATGTATTCGGGATTGTGGGAAACGTTATTTCGATCTCTCTGTCTGTACACACAAAGATTGACAATAAAGTTGACTTTGACTTTGACTACACAGTCAGGCCATATGGAAATTCTGCTGAACTGTGTTGAACAGGATTACAATGCTTAACAGACTTAACACCGGGTCATAAACATTTACACAAGACTTCGGAAATTGTTAGAACACAGCACTACGGCTAATATTACCCTCGCCAGCCTGTTTATCGCCACGAAGAAGACTAAACTTTTGAACTGGAAATCAAAAACATTTTATAAATGAAGAACCTTATAATAGATTTTTGATTCATGGATAATATGTCCGCCTCATACAACTATCAAATAAACACAAAAACACACAGGCATCTCCATGTTTAGGCCACACTCAGACAAACACAACACACTCTCACCAAACAACCAATTTTATTCAGGTATCTTTCCCCTTTCTATTCCTACACATTTATTTATTCATTTGTTTATTAATGTTTGATATAAATGATTTGACCTATGTTCCTCTGTTATCAGTCTTTTGAGTAATGATTATTCAGTTCATTCCTTTTCATCTAACCACAGCTGAATAATGAGGGTGCCTCGGGCTGGGCCCTTGAGGCGGCTGAACTAGTTTAGGGCGACTTGGAATAAGAGGACCTGTTTTTTGATATGCTCTTCTACTTATGTAAAGCTGCTCTTCAGACCCATTCAAAAGACCCCTACTGATTGGTTGGGGGCTAACATTGCCATTAAATAAAAGATAAAACAAGCAAATTAACAAAAACAACTGGGATGAAAAAAAAGACTTAACATTTGGTCCTGACCCAGCTGTTCGATGCCCCGCTCCAGTTACACCCCGGTACCTTCTCTGCTCATGAGGCCAGTGATGAGAGCATTGTTATGTGTATATTTTCCTTTTCTCTCTATTCCCTCCAGCCTATATCGTTCACACATAGAGCCCATCTACCCACACACTGCTTAACCCATGCACACTGCAATGAAGAAAACCACAGCAAACATTATGTCCTTTTATAAATCAATGTTTTTGGTCGTTTCCATGATGGTCACAATTGCAACTGCTTTCCAAGACAAAAATCCAACATGCCAATGAAGTTGGGAATGAACTGAAGATCTCTTTTCTACCTTTGACTTAGTCGCAACACTGCCCATCAGCACAATCCTTCTCCAGAGTCCCCTGAACCTCTGCAGAGATTGTTTGGCCTGTAGCCAACTGGAAGATAGGGTACGGGGGCTCAGAGGATCAGTTCTGTCCTTGTGTGAGCACTTATTGTGAAACAGACAAGCAGCAGCACTGACAACCAAAGCAGCATTTTCCCCGCACATTACACAGCCATCCATACCAACTCTGAATGTTTTTGTCCACTAAACTACCCTGTACACACAAGAGAATTTAGCTGGATGACACAATTCTCTCCTCTTATACCAAAATGATTACTGTTCTCTGGGAAGCACTTCTCTCTTTGAAAATGAAAACATGCCTCCCTCCACTTAAACAAAAAGGCAACAGAAGCTATAAATATAGCTGAAATCCTCAGAAAACTCTTGACCAGAACGTAGGTCAATAAACTGCACAGAACGACAGAACCGCACATTACTATGATGCAACTGTGTCAGTGTTTATAATTTTGTTAAACAATAGACGCCTGCCGGCTCGTGGTTCCCTCCCAACTGCTCATTTATGTGTCATGCTTTGTGTCGGACACTTGTGGAGATAACACACTCAGCATGAAGTACTAAATGAGATGGATGAATATCTACATTACAAAAACCTCAGTGTTTTCTGATCCTTCCCTCACTTCACTTTAAAATGTAATACATGTAATTTAAAAATAAAGGTTTGGTTCCTTGATTTTATTAGCTGTAGCGACTTAGCTAGTTAATTAAGATTACATTTATGAAGACAATAACACCTGTGAAGGGTTCTTGACTTTACTAACACTTACATGATGCTTTTATCTCATCACGTTAAATGGCTGAAGTTTAACTGCATGTGTCCACGAAAAGTCAGCATGCAGTTGAATCCATGTTACTAGACAAGCAGCTTCATTCCCGCATACAGCGCTAAATAGTCTTTGAAAAACAAATGATGAAAAAATATGGCTGTTATTTCATGCAAACACTGTTTTGCTACTTGGCTTCCAATTACTGGATAAGCAAGGCAGAGGTTTGAATTATGCTTTCTTTGTTTGACTTTTCGAAAAATATTGTTAACTTAATGTTGCAAGAGAAAAAGCTTTTCAGATGAGGACTAGCATGGATGGATTACTGAACGTGCTTACTGGGCATAGACAGAGGCCCATAAGTGCCACGGCCTTGCTGGCCTTAATTTACTAAATGTTTCTTAAAGAGATACATATCAACCAGAAAGAGACTCAAAGGTCCCATAAAGAAACGCCAAAGGGACACAGAAAGAATTCAAAAGAAACCAAAACAACTATAAAGACATGCAAAACATCTGAAAAGAGAAAGAAAGTGACAATGAAAAGGGGCAGAACAACCACTAAAAGAAACATTTTTACAAAGAGATGACAAGTTTACACAAAACATCAGCAAAGAGCTAAATAATAAGTACAAAGAAATATAAACGTACTGCATAGAGACAGAGACAAACAACAGAAACAGATACAACATGTTTCATTGTGTGTTTTCCTACTGCAGGAGAGGTGCTGGGGTCTTTTGCATGTCTGTGCCCAGGGGCCCATTGTCACATAATCATCCCATTGACTATAAGCTATAAGTCTTTCTGAATATCAAAAGCCTGGTTGAGTTAAGAGTTTAAACTTCCCCAAATCTAAAATATCAGGTCAGTACTGCTACAGTGAATGGGCCATGTTTTTTATATAACCTGTGACCCCTGTGAAAAGGTCATAACACCCATCAAAATAATTGTAATAACTGTGTCCATGAAGCTAACTCTGGGTTGTTTATAATGTTTGCAAAACACAAACTTAGGCCTGAATGGTTGCACATTTCTGCCTGGTGGTGTGCAGCATCAAACATTGGAAAGTCCCTCCGCTGTGCTTTTCACATGACTGCGAGGATTTAGGCAAGTCATCCTGAGGAGTGTTGAGAGCTCCTGTGTGCGCAGGAAGCCTTTGACAAGTGGGTAAGAAGAGCTGATGGTGTGCACAGCATGAGCAAAGAAAAGTAACTACTTTGAGAAATAAAAACACTCATTCACCAATCTTATCCAGCTGCTGCCCTGAAAGACTGCCAAACAGCTCTCCATCATTTGATTTGTTGAGTGCATACACTTCCAGTCACCTTATGAGACCTGCCAAGAGATCTTTTTTATTATCTAATGCATGGGAAAAACTCCCATGTGTCTGCTTTGAATGCTAGTGCACTCAGTTTACCCTTGGATCTGTACGTGCATGTTGCATTTCTTATACAGTTTATGAATTGTAACCAATTTCTTGAGTGGCTGAAGCTAAACACCGGAGGGTCTATCACCAAGCGATGCTTTCCCCTCTGGGTAATGGGAATGATAGCTGGAGCTCCTGCAGGGTAGATACAATCTATCCGCACATATACTGAGTGAATGCTTGAAAGAACTACAGACTGTGATCACACAACCAGCAGGAGTGCAAATCTGAGCGACAATCCTGCATGAAGCCAGGAGAAAGGGATAGGAACATTTTGTCAATAGTGAATGATGTCCCCACTTTTCACATCAACAGTACTCGCCCAATCCCTGCAAGTTGTCTCGCTCTTTATGAGAACTGGGCTTATGATTGTTTCACAAAACAGCGTAGGGGAAGTTTGAATTATTTGATTGTAGTCCCAAGCAAATTTGGTGATATTGATTTAGCAATGTTCATTGTGGTTGATAATTCACCACTCTACTAACAACATTAATTGAAAGTGACTAAGTATTTCAATTCCTTACACTTACAATATTGTGATGTCAATACACTTTGTGTTCATGTAGGGTATGTCAAATTAAATATCATACCAATGCTCTATGAGGCTACTTGAACATATGAATGCTCACAAGGACAATGCAACATGCTGTTTTGCATAGCATGCTTAAAAATGTGCTAAACAATGAAAAGCAAGTGTAGCAGAGGCTAAAGGGAATGTCATTTGTTTTTTGGATAATAATTTGACCTGATGAGGGTGCTAGCGGCAAAGTCCGATGCTCATCAACGTTGGAACTAGGGCTGTGCGATTATGGCAAAAATCATAATCACGATTATTTTGGTCAATAATTGATATCACGATTATTAAAAACGATTATCCATTTACTTTGAAAACATCCATATATTGAAAAAAAGTATGTTTTTAACAGTTGATTACCCTGAACTTTAAGTATAATTAAACTGAAAAACCAATAAAAAAAAATAAAAAAAAATTAATTTTTTATTTTTTTTATAAAAATAATAATCGTTTTATTT